ATAACACCTGTGACCTTTAACTCTATGTCACTATTTCCTCACAATCACACACACACACACACACACACACTTTTCAGGTCTGTACCGCTGTGTATGTAGTTAGTCATCCATATTGCTACCACCAGAGGGCACTCAGGTTCAATTAAGGTTTGACAGCTTTTCGTTTGGTTTGGTTTGATTTGGTTTGGTGGCACTGGGGTTTGAACTCAGGGCTTCACCCTTGCAAAGCAGGTGCTCTACTACTTGAGCCACACCTCCAGTCCACTTTGCTTTGGTTATTTTGAAGATGGAGTCTAGTGAGCTTTCTGCCCAGGCTGGCCTCGAACCTCGACCCTCCCAATCTCAGCCTCCTAAGTAGCTAGGGTTACAGCCATAAGCACCCTGTTGGGTCTGACAGCTTTCGAGTCTGGATCATCAGTTCTCAAATGATTAGGCTGGGAGCTCCTTGGCACTCTTACAAAGTATGGAGAGCTCCCAAAGAGCTTTTGTGGGTTAGATAAAATGTGATTTGGGGAGGAGGGGAAGGTACTGAGATTTGAACTCAGGGCCTAACACTTGAGCCACTCCACCAGCCCTTTTTTGTGGTAGTATTTTTCAAGATAGGATCTCCTGGGCTGACTTCAAACCAAGATCCTCCTGATCTCTGCCTCCTGAGTAGCTAGGATTACAGGCGTGAGCCACTGGTGCCCGAGGTTGGTTGATTTTTTTGAGACTGGGTCTGGCTATGTAGCCCAGGCTTGCCTTGAACTCATGATCCTCCTACCTCTGCCTCTCGAGTGTTGGCTTACAGGTGTGCACCACCACACCTGGCTTGACTTCATTGACTGCATTGACCACCTAAATTCCAGCTCCTTGGCCAGGCACTTTTCCTGTGGTTTAAGAGTTTTTTCTTTCTTTCTTTCTTTCTTTCTTTGTTTTTTTTTTTGTGTGTGTGTGTGTGGTACTAAGGTTTGAACTCAGGGCCTACACCTTGAGCCACTCCACCAGCCCTTTTTGTGTTAGGTATTTTTGAGATAAGGTCTCACAAACTATTTGCCTGGGCTAGCTCCAAACCCAGATCCTCCTGATCTCTGCCTCCTCTGTAGCTAGGATTACAGGCATGAGCCACCGCACCCATGCCCAGTTATTTGAAGGAGAAAAGACCACCCTCATCTAGAGGTCTTTTCCATGGTGTAAATACTGCTACCGTGACCCTTGCAAACTATCAATAGTTTAACAAGTAGCTCCCATGATTCTGAAAATGCAACAACCAGCTCTTCAGGGCCCTTAGAGACTGGCATCAGCACATCAGTGCTACCTGACATTTGCCTTATAGAAATTTCAACTGAGACTTTTAAAGACGATTTAATCCCTTAAAAATAACAATAGGCCTGGAGGTGTGCTCAAGTGGTAGAGTGCCTGCTTTGCGAGCACAAAGCCCTGAGTTCAATCTCCAGTCCCACCAAAATAATAATAATAATAATGATAAATGCATCACATGTTAATATCAGAGCAATTATGCCTCCACATATCATGTAACCTCTGGAAAGGAGAACAAGGCAAACAACATTACAGTCATGTTTGGAAGATGGTTTAGACTTTGTGGATCAAAGGTCAGAACTTCTGAAAGTGCCTCTGCAGAACACACTTTGGGCATCGCTGGCTCAGATCTTCGGTTCTCACCTCTGTCCAAAACAGTACTCCCCCTTTATTTAATAATGAGTTTTGTGTCATTCGTTCAATTACCACAATCTCTAACTCACACAGAGTACAACTCACCTTCATAGTACAAGTATCTCTAACACAAATTCCTCCAGCTACACCACAGGGGTGTAGCCCAGTGGTAAAGTGCTTGCCTAGCATGTGCAAAGCCCTGGATTCCATCCTCAGTCCCTCAAAAAAGAAAAAAAAAAAGTCACTGTAATACATTACCTGTGATAGAGAAAAGAAAGAAGTCTACAGGCCCTCACCAGATTGGCAATGAGGTGTTCAGATTTTAGAAAGGGTTCTCCATGTGTGGCAGATATAATGTATCCCCCAGCGTGATTCCAGGTGGCTCCTGAGACCGAACACATCAACACTCAGGCAGTGAAGTGACCACACCAGAGCGAGACAAATGCTGTCACCAAAGTAGCCTGGCATCAGCTCCGAATGCGGTTTGCCACCAGATCAGTGTGACAGTAACTCTTCGTTTTCAGAGTTATTTGGATCATGGAGTTGTGTGTGGTGGACAGAAGGCTGTCACTGACCGTGGAGGAGGTGCAGCATTGGGTCCGAACTTGGACCCGGTTCTGCTCACAGACATACGGAGTCAGATGCTCCTGTTGAAATTATAACTTTAGATCTAAGATAAGCAAGACAATCTCCAGACAAATATCCATTTATGTTGAGGTGACATTTGAACTAAGGACTAAGAATACCCATGAGTCTCCAGAGAACAAGACAGAAGCCAAAGCAGAGAGAACAGCTTAGATTGTCTGGAACTCAAAAGGGATCAGAGGTAAGTGATGGGACTCGCGGAAGCGGTGACAGTCCCAACAACAGCTTCTGCCCCATACGGAGGATGATTTTCCCTTGGGTTTTACATGGTTGTTCTCCTGGAAAACACAGTTTGTTAAAATGGTGTAACGTTCTTGTCATTTTATAGGTAAGATGGGACTGGCTCCGGGCCCCCATGATGGTTAACGAATTCCCCCTGCAGGCTCCAGGAAACTCCTCTGTTGGAGTTGTGCAGTGAACCAGGGCCACCGAAGGCCAGACGCCCCACAGATTCGCAAACCCCTCCCTGAGCTCTGTGACAGGCGCGTGCAGGGGTGGCGGTGCAGGGCACTGGTGGTACCTCTTGGTCGCCCAGAGTGCCGTGAGAGATTCTCCAGCAGGGGGCGCCAGCGCGCTGAGGACGGAGCAGGGATCCGGGGCCACGGCATCCGCACACCTGCACCAGCAGCAACGGATGCGGTAGCATCAGGACGTTCAGGAACCATTACGTGCGTGTGGCCATGGACGTGAGTGTGAGCAGCTCATGCTTCACTGATGACAGGTACCCTTATTTACAGAACCCCAGTGTGCACTCTTGTGCTGTCATCGATAAAGTCTTGGGGTGGGAAGTTAGCTCAATGGTAGAGCTCTTGCCTTGATCGCAGATGTTTGGTGTGCCTATATATATAAAGCTCTAGTTCTATTTTTAACGTTTAACAGGTGCCAGTTTTTCTTGGGTGCTATGAAGCCCTCAGCTCGGCTATCCGCTACGACTTTCTAAGTCAGGCCCCGTTGTTTTCTCATACACCCTAGAACTGAGAGCTCATTCCTCTGTTTTTATCAAGATTCTTTAGGGTGTGAGCAGCTGAAATCCACTCAAACTAATCTAAGTACAAAGTACATGAATAAGGCAATATCCAAAAACAAGTGCAACAACAACAAAAAGCTGTAATGGTTCGTGTGGAAGTTCAAGATTAAGTTGGACTTCAGGTATGGCCGGATCAAAGCACCTGAGTGAGGGTTGATGTCAAGGCTGTCTTTCTCAAGCTTTCATTTCTGTTCTATCTGTATTGTTGTCCTCTTCATGGTGGTGTGAGGTCAATCCAGCAGATCGCTCCAGCTTGGTGACTCCAGCAGAAACAGAAAACTTCTTTCCTGACAAGTGCAGCAACTGTCCCAGGATTTCCACAAGAGGATAGCTGGGTCACAGTCACTGTGAGTGGGGAAACCATAACCTGACTGGCTTGGTTTGGATCCTCCTCTGCCCCTTCTGGAGTTGGTGAGGGTGGGAGTGTGGCTAGCCTAATTCAAATTAAACAGAGAGGATAGAGAAGTGGATCCACAGAATGAAATTGAGTGTGATAGTAGGGTGAGGTGGGGAGCCATGTGCATTTTAGAGGAAGAGCATTCTAAGATGAGAAAACCGTATGTGCAAAGGTCCTGTGATGGGACTTGTCTAATGCGTTCAAGGATCTGTAAGGTCATTTCTGCCACACTGTAGACTTCTGCTCCCCAAAGCTGCATCCAGAACAGGTCCTCCATACTGTCAATTCGAATTCCCCCTCCCACCACACACACACACACACACACACACACACACACACACACACACTTCCTTATCCAATTGTGATGCTGTCATCTGTCCTTGGTGACTTTGTACATCTCCCTTGTTACTCTACTGGTACAAAGATACCATTTCTCTGCTCCTTTTAAAAGTGGGTGTGGTTGAGTTAAAACATATTTACTTGACAGAAGCTTAATAATTCATCAGCAGGAACCAGAAAAAGGAGTTAGAGGCCAAGGGGTCAGGGTAGAGCGGAGGGGGTGGACGAGGTAGGGTTAGGGTGGGGGGTACAGAGGGTGCCAGACTGGGAGAATAGGGGGCAAGATGGAGTACAGGAGAATGAGGGGTTGTGCAACGTGGGGGTGGTGGCGGGGCGGGATTGGGGGGGAGATGCAAAGTGAGACCTTGGTGGATAAGGAAGAAGGGGACAGAGGGGGTAGGGTTGGGGACTGGAAGGGATGGAGCTGGAGTAGGAGGAGCCCAACTGGAGGTAGGACTCAGAGGGGTGAGACAGAGGTGGGGAGACAGAGGGTGGGTGCTGGGATGCAGGGAACAGAAGGGTATGTTTGAGACTGGGGGCGTGGCTCCTACCTAGTAAGTGCCAGGTCCTGAGTTCAAACCCCAGCACCGGAAAAAAAGAAAGAAGAAGAAGAAAGAAAGAAAGAAAGAAAAGAAAAGAAAAGTTTAAGTCTGAGACTTCAGCTGCTAGGGACAAGGCGCGGCCTGCGGACGGTGCCCGCGCGGGGCTGAGGAAGTCGCGGCGAGGGGCGTGGCTGGGGGTGTGTATTACACAGGATTCCCCCCACCCTTAGTGTTCCAGGGCTTGTCCTCTGGTCCCGCCCCTTCTTAAGAGTGACAGGCCCATCTTCCAACCAGAGGCGCGGGCCGGGCGTGGCGCAGCCAATGGCGTGGCGGGGGCGGAGCTGGGGAGGGGGCTCGCAGGGCCAGGGGAGGGGTCGCCGGGCCTCCGAGGGCTCGGGAGCAGCGGCGGGCGAGCCATGGCGCTGGGACTGCAGCGAGCGAGGTAATGGCCTTTGGAGACAGGGGTGATGAGAATTGGGGGGCTCTCCTTCTGGAGACCCCTATGCTGTGGGGGTGCACTAGATTTGGACATACGGTTGGAGGCGCACACTCCACCCTAGGGGACTGCTAGGGGTGCGAGATTTCCCCACGTCCCTGGCTGTCTCGCCCCTCTCACCAGAACTGGCTTTGTGTGTGTGTGTGTGTGGTGGGGGGGGGAGGTAGTGATTCCCGATTTCCTGCTATCCCAGGTTCGCTTCCCCGCCTGGTTGTGGGTGGAAAACTAGACGTCCCCACGGGCATTGGAGGTGGTTGTGTTTGAGCAGTCCCCGGGCTTCTGTGGTCAGCTTTCTTCTCTCTATGTATTGATCCCTCTGGCCTCCAAAACCCCAGAATTGAAGCTGTTCTATGCCATCAGGCCTTTTTGATCCTACAGGATACCCCAAAATTGAGTCTTCCCAGATAGAAGAATCTCTTGGAGTTTCAGCTCCTAAATTCCAGAAGGGAGACTTCTTTAGATAGGACCCTGCCTGACAGTCTCCCAAACCCCAGAACTAGGCAGAGAAGGTCCCTCTAAGAACTGCCTGGGACGCTTTGTATCTGCCAGGGGCCTTTTCGTATCTTTTTAAAAAGTAGGGTCACCCTTTTCAATAACAGGGAAACAACTTCACCCACTTCCCAAAGTCTTACTTGTCCGTTCCCACCCAGTCCCTTGTACTGAGGGACGAGGGCCCCACCCAAGTCTTATTTGGGGGAGACCCTCTGGGGAGGTGCTGTCCCTGATCCAGGGGAGAGACTCCCCCCTCCCCACCAGCAATGGGCTCAACTATGGGGTCCTTCTGGGCAAAACTGTGTTTCTACATTCACCTCCTAATAGGTACAGATCTGCAGGGGCAGAGGCAACCTGTGCTCTGCGACCTCTGCCAAGGGGTCCTATCTGGCCAGACTCTCATAGGACCCCAGGAAATGTGCCAGGTCCTTGGCTTTCCCTGTCCAATCTGAAGCATCCAGCAAGCCTCACCCCCTACCCTCCTCCCTGACTTCGCAGGCCGATTGGATCCATCCACACCCTATGTTTTTGTCCCCCTAGATTTCCCTTCTCCCACTCTATTGCAATTCCTGGCTCTGAGCCCACCAGGGAACTCCATCTCACCCTTTCTGAACCAACGCTGGCCCCGCCCCTCCCAGCACCCCCTCTTGGCTGGGTGGGAACCCCTGTTGGCTGTGCTGGGGCGCTCCCACCTCGCCACCCCGGACCAGCCCTTTCCGGTGGTGTCTTCACCACCGGAACACCCACTCAAAACTCACACCGAGATTGCGGCCACACACTCTGGCCCCTCCCGGACCCCCTGAATGGCACTACAGCCAGAGGGGGAGCCTAATGATGGTGAGTGGGCTCCCATGCCCCTGTGACTCTTTCCCTTGTTCCAGTTTGGGCTTCCAGCTACCCAACACCACACAGGGGTGTTCTTGGGTAGTCTATGATGGGCACTGTGCCCCAGTGCCCATGCAAGGCAGGAGTTCCTGAAGGAGACAGGACTTTAAGGACTGGCACCCGATCAGGTTACCAAGTCCTAGGGAACAAGCAAAGTCAAGGTTACAGAGTCTCCCAGTCCCTTCTCCAACTGAAACCTTGCATGGGTATCTCAGGGCACCTCTGAGTAGTGACAAAAGGGGTCTCTGCCATATAAACCTAACATTCCCCTTCCCCAAATCCTCTACAAGTTTTGCAAGGCCACCCAATACCCAGTTGAAAGTTAGAAGATAAAGTTCAGAAGTAACCCCAAATGTGAGACAGGGACTCTCTACTTTCGCTAAGCCTTTGCTCTTAGGTGCATGTTTTCCAGGGTGGGAAAGAAGTGAGCTTCTCTCCCTCCCAGCTGGGGAACACCATGCCCCAGCCCCCCCTTCCCAGGCCTCACCCCGGGCCTCCTGGCCCCACCCCCTGTTCTCAGCTAGAACACCGAGGAAGGGTGGCAGGGTTCCAGCTGCACGTCCCAAACTGGGCAGAGTGCCAAGGGGCTGAACCAAGGCTGGGCATGAGGCCAGCAGGGGAGATCCAGAGGCAGTGGTGGTGGAGCAGGAGGAAGGACTGGAGACACTAGGGAGAGAGGGACAAAGCAGGGGTCCCCTGAGAAGTGGCACACCCCCAGAGGTGTGGCATTTTAGAACAAATGCCCCAAAATCAGGGTTCAAGTTCCACTTTCTGGCTGTGTGGCCTCAAGCCAGTAATTGCCTCTCTGACGCCAGCTCCATATCCTGGAAAATGGAAGTCATGTCTTCTCCTCCCACACCCCAGATCAAGATGAGGAGTCAGTAAAGCAATAGATGGGAGGGTGGGGGTGTGGGGAGTCTGGACACCCAATAGGTGTATAATAACTGAGTTCATGTCAGAGTTCTGAGCAGAAGTAAATGGACCTGGTTCTGCCACTGAATGCTATGTGGCATCTGGCAGGTTGCATCACCCTCTGGGCCCTGCTTCCTCATCAGGAAAATTGGGAAGGTGATAACAGGTACAAGGAAAGATTAATTGACAAGCAGCTGAGCAGAGCTGAGCCCCTGAGGGTGCCCCTTACTGGGGCTGGGGAAGCTATGCCCAGAGCCTCAGTTTCTACTTTAGCTATGTAGGCTGACCCAGAATGTCTTATGTAGCCCAAGCTGGCCTCAAACTCAAGATCTTCCTGCCTCACCTTCCTGAGTGTTAGAATTACAGACGTGGCCGCCACACCCAGCTGTTTCCACCTTTTTTAAAGGGAGACTCCTCCTCCTACTCCATAAGGTTGTTATAAGGATTTAATAGCATTCATGAGTGTGTAATACAACAAAGCTATTATTATCGTGGACAGTGTTATTTAGTCATCCTCCCAAAGTCCTTGTGTAAAAACACATCACAGACAAAGCCCACAGGTTACACTGGTACACAAGAGGCTCCTATGTCCAAACCTTCCATCTCTGAAAGGTGGACAAAGAGAATAGCAAATTTAACCTGTACTAAGCACTAACCCAAATAGCCAGGCCTTGTTTTCTAAGTCCTTGATTTATATTAACTCATTTCATCTTCAAAAGACTCTAAGAGGCACATGCTGTTACTATTCTCAGAGAGGTTGTGCAACTTGTCCAAAGTCACACAGCTAATAAGTAATGGAGCCAAGATTGGAACCTTGGACCAGAGAAAATGGTCCCCCACTCTGTTTGACTGAAAAAGGCCAGAAAGGCCAGAGCCCCAATGAGAGCCCCACCAGAACATCTGGAGAACAGGCTGAAAGCTGGAAGGAGGGACCCTCTGCAGTCACCAGCTGGCTCCTTCTATGGAGGAAGAAATCCTGCCCCTAAAGAGGAGTGGATTACAGAGCCCAGCTGCTTGGGAGGTGGGGCGCCAGCCCCACCCCCTGTTCCTCTTCCCACTCCCTGTTCCCTGTGTCTGGGCCCCCAGCTCAGTGTGGCCCGCCCACCCCCACCCTCTCTGGGCAGGAAGACAAACAGGGCTGGAACAGAACAGAACAGGACGGAATGTCCTCTGGACAGGCAGGACTGTGGCCCCTGCCCCCACCAGCCAAGAGGGAAGGGATGGGGCCATACTTTGTCTCCTCCAACCCTTGGCTTCTGGACCTCCCACCCTCTTACACTAAGAGCTTTTTTCCCCTCTGCAACCAGACAGGAAAAATCTCCTTCTGTAAACCTCTCCTGCCTGGGAGTGGGGTCAATGCGATCCCAAGAATGGCCTCTGCTCTCTGAATTTAGGAAGGGACAGTCTCTCCTAGACGTTTAGCTTGGGAGATTGGGGGCAAGGGGTCTGCAAAGAGGGGATTAAAGACTGGAGGCTTTTGGAACCTCACGGCCTAGTTCAAATCCCAGCTCAGCCTGGTACTGGCTTTGTGACTTTCTTAATTTTTGTTGTTGTTGTTGTTGTTTTGGCGGTGCTGGGGTTTGAACTCAGGGACTCACACTTTGCTAGGCAGGCACTCTACCATTTGAGCTACTCTGCCAACCCACTTTGTGACTTCTTGAGCAAAGAACTTCGCCTTTCAGAGCCTCAGCTTCCCCTTTGTGAAATGTCCAAGGTACCAGGCCCAAAACGTTTATCATGATTTTTTTTTTAGAAATATTAGAAAAGTAGATATGACTGGGCATGGTGACACACATCTATATTTCAATAGTAGACATAAAATACTCTTGAATTTGGATTCAGACAGGCCTGGAGTTTGAATCTGAAGCCAATGGTAGAAACGAAGTTCTAAAACTTGGCTTTAAGAATTAAAAGAGTTCAGGCAGACGGTGTTCAAACCCTAGCTTTGCTATTTATGGCGAGCGTTGCACCTCTCTGGCCTCACCTTCCTCCTCTGTTCATTGGGGATAATGTTACGAACTTCCTTGTAGGGTTGTCTGAGCATTAAATGGGTTCCCAGGGTGGCACGGAAACTGATGTAATATTAAAAGTAGATTAGTGGCAGATATTTGGGATAAAACAGCTCTCATCCCCCATCCCGACCCCACTAGCAAAATTCAGGTATTTGAAGTGCATTAAAGGCTATCCTGGGGTTGGTTTGCTGTGTCACCCTGGTGGGGCCCTGCCCCTCTTAAGGCCCCTGACGTACATCGTCAGACTGAGATATCTCTGCTCCAAGAGGCCTCAGCTCAGCTGAGGAGGGAAAAGGGCAAGGAAGGAGACTTGGGAGGCTTGCTGATCTTCATTCGCCCTCCTTCCTATGGCCCCGGGCCAAACAGCCAGCCCCTTCCCACCAGGGGGCCTCCCTGTCCCCCAGGAGTCCCTAGCTTGGGAAATAAACTGCAGATAAGTCAGAGAGGGGACAGAGCGGCCCACGGCACCACTTGGAGAAAAGAGACAGCATGCACTGGTAGGAGGACAGATAAAATCCAGGGCTAGGAGGGGCTCCCGAGGGTAACCTCCCAGGCCCAGAGAGCGCGGAGAACTAGCGGGGGCCACACAGCGAGCAGAGGAGCCTGGGCCCCAAGTGGCCATGCCTGCCCTCGTGTGCTTGTGCCATCCAGCTCTTTCCCTCCCGGGGACGCCGCCTGTCAACGATGCCCATGCCCGCAGGTCCAGCACCGAGCTGCGCAAGGAGAAGTCCCGGGATGCCGCTCGCAGCCGGCGCAGCCAGGAGACCGAGGTGCTGTACCAGCTGGCGCACACGCTGCCCTTCGCGCGCGGCGTCAGCGCGCACCTGGACAAGGCTTCCATCATGCGCCTCACCATCAGCTACCTGCGCATGCACCGCCTCTGCGCCGCAGGTGAGCCCCGCCCCCGAATGCCCCCCAGCCCCTGGGAAGTCTTCCTGGCGGAGCCCCACCTCCCTGGAATCGCTTCTCTTGGTGAGGTCACGCCTCTTCTACTGCTGGACCAATCGAAGCCCATTATTCTTAGGAGTCCCGCCCCTCAGTAGTCTACCATGTGAGGCCCCGCCCCCTTGGAATGCGCCCTTGGGAAGGTCCGCCGCTGAGGCCACGCTTCTTCTAGTGCTGGGCCAATTGGAACCCATTCTTGGGAGTCCCTTCCCTTTGATAGTCTATCATGTGTGAGGCTCCGCCCCCCTCAGGATGCGCCCTTGGGAAGGTCCGCCCCTTTAGACCTCTGAGGCCACGCCTCTTCTAATGCTGGGCCAATCGGAGCCCATTATTCTTGGGAGTCCCGCCCCTTTGATAGTCTATCATGTGTGAGGCTCCACCCCCCTTGGAATGCGCCTGTGGGAAGGCCTGCCCTGTTAGACCACTGAGGCCACGCCTCTTCTAGTGCCGGGCCAATCGGAGTCCATTATTCTTGGGAGTCCCGCCCCTTTGATAGTCTATCGTGGGAGAGGCTCTGCCCCTTGGGACACGCCTTTGGGAAGGCCCGCCCCCTTAGAACTCTGAGGCCAGCTGTCTCCCAGAGGCCTTCTCCTCTTAGATTTGTTCCCTAGGAGACTTTCTTAGGTCTTGCTCTGTCTGCTTATTAAAAATAGCCATGGAGGCTCTCCTGCCCAATTTTTAATTCCTCGAAAGTCCCTCTTTCCCCCCCATCCTCTGTAGTCCTCTCGATAGTTCCCTTAGCAGCCATCCCTTTGAATCTCCATCCAGTTAAAACAATTACAGACACACATACACACACACACACACACACACACACACACACACACACACCTTGGAACCAAGGACCTTGAAAAGATTTTATTATGGACAAAAAGTCCTCCTATCCTCAGGCAGGCTCTGCCATTAGACTTCCCCACCCCATAGAAAAGCCTCTGGGAGGCTTTTCCCTATTAGAATTCTGTCCCCTGATGGTCCCTACTCTTAGAAATCTGCCCATTTGAAAGGTCCTGCCCTCCAAGAATTCTGGGAAGCTGGCTCCTCACCCCTAGAATTCCAACTGTCCCAGACCCTAGTCTCTGACATTCTGTCTTCTTAGAATCCTGTCCTCCTAAGAGGTCTACCCACTTGGAATTCTGTTCCTCTAGGGGTTCCTTATTTCCTTAGAATTCTGTTCCCTGGGAAGTCCTGCTCCTAATTCCATAGCTTGGTGGTCCTGCCCTCTTCCCTTGGGACTCCAAGTCACTAGCTTGTGTCCCCACTCTCTTGGGCATATCTCTAAGTTCCTCTGAGTGAGGACAGGCAGAAGGCGATGTGCCAAAGTGGGCCCACAACTGACCAGAGACGTCCCCACCCCCCCCCCCACACCCTGGGCACCAGGAGAGTGGAACCAGGTGGGATCAGGGGGTGAACCACTGGATTCGTGCTACCTGAAGGCCCTGGAGGGCTTCGTGATGGTGCTCACCACGGAGGGAGACATGGCTTACCTGTCAGAAAATGTTAGCAAGCACCTGGGCCTCAGTCAGGTAAGCTGCCTGCTTTGTGCTTGGCCCAGTTCTGGAGATGCTGGGGACACTGTGGCATAGCCTTATCTCTGCCTTTATGGGATTCACAGCACAGAAGGGGAGAAAGGTGTGTCACAGGTAGCAAGATGCAGAATGGCTAGGGCTGAGATCAGACCGCCTAAGGCTGTGGGAAAGCCAGGAGGAGGGCAGTATGTGAACCAGTCTGGGAAAGGGGTGGAACTGGGGCTTCCTGGAGAAAGAAAAATCTGAGCTAAAACCTGAAGGACTTAACTATTCAAAGGATTATGGGAAATAATCCTTTGACCAGTGAACCAGTGAGGATGGTAGAGATGCAAAAGCCCAGAGGTGAGATAACAGAGCCCTTTGGGGAAATAAAGTTTATTCTGCTGGATCAGGGTATAGTGGAAGCTATGGGACAATTTTAAATAGGGGTGGAAAGTTGTATCAAAGGAATCAGGTTTATATTTTAGAAAGATCCCTCATGGGAGCCAGGTGTGGTGGTGCACACCTGTAATTCCAGCACTTGGGGGTTGAGGCAGGAGGATCCAAAGTTTTTGGCCAGTCATCTCAAAAAATGGAAGAGGCCAGACACTGTGGCCCTCACCTGTAATCCTAGCTACTTGGGAGTCAGATATCAGGAAAGATTGCAGTTTGAAACCAGCTCAGGCAAAATGCCTGTCTCTGCCAGCTCTCTGTCAACAAAGCTGGGTCTGGTGGTGCGTGCCTGTCATCTCAGCTAGGTGGGAAGCATAAATAGGAGGATCACTGTCTAAGCCAGCCTGGTATAAATGTGAGTCCCTATTCAAAGAATAACTAAAGCAAAAAGTGCTGGGGGCGGGACTCAAGTGGTACAGTGCCCTGCTAGCAAGCACAAGGCCCTGATTTCAAACCTCCAGACTGAGTAAAAGAGGGAGGGAGGAGAGGGGAAGAGAGAGAGGGAGAAGAAGGAGGAGGATGAGGACAAAGAAGAAGAAAGAAGAGGAGGAAAGATGGGAGAGAGTAAGAGAGGAGGAGGAAGAAGAGTGGGGGGATCAGGTTCATCTCCTAAACAAAACAAGTAGTGGGGTCTTGAGCCTGCCCAATAGGTGTGACTCACCTCAGGGCCTTTGCACTTCCTGCTCTCACTCTTACTCCTGGGAGCCACAAGGGCATCTCACCTGCTTTGTTTACCAGTTTTTATTTGTTGTTTGTTTGAGACAAGGTCTTTCTATGTAGCCCAGGATGCAAAATTGCAATCCTCCTGCTTCAACCTCCCAACTGTTCAGCAATTTTTTAAAATGTCACCTCATCAAAGAAACTATCCAGGACCACACTCCCTAAAATGACATCCCATCATTGCATCACCCTGCCGACCCTGCTTGAGTTGCTGTCTTTGTTACTCATTGTGGTGGTGTTATTTTATGTTGTTTGTTTATTGTCTGTCACACACACACACACAAACACACACACACTAGCCGGTAAGGTCCGTAAGGCAAGGATCTGTCTATGGGGTCACTGATGTGTCCCTACAGTTAGAAGAGGACCTGGGGGTCTATGGCCATACCACCCTGAACACGCCTGATCTTGTCTGATCTCAGAAGCTAAGCAGGGTGGGGCCTAGTTAGTACTTGGATGGGAGAAGAGGGCCTGGGGTTGAGAGAGTGGCTCTGGCAATAGAGCGCCTGCCTAGCAAGTGTGAGGCCCTGTGTTCAAACCCCAATACCACCAAAAAAGAAGAAGACCTATTAAATAGTAGGTGCTGAATAAATGGTTCCTCAGTGAGTAAGTGCATGAGTGAATGTGAGCGAATGAATGAGTGAATGAGTGAATGGGTGAATGAGTGAATAAGTGAGTGAGTGAGTGGATGAATGAGTGTGAATAAGTGAGTGACTATAAGTGATGAGTGGATAAATGAGTGACCCAATGTGAGAATGAGTGAATAAATGGGTGAGTGAGTAAATAAATGAGTGAACAAATGGATGAGTGATTGGATATTTGATGAATGAGTGAATGAGGAATGAGTGAGTGAATATGAGTGGATGAATGAGTGAGTGAATGGATGGATGAGTGAGCAAATGGGCAAGTGATGAATGAGGGGGTGAGTGAGGGAACAAATGAGTGAGCAAATGAATGAGTGAGTGAGTGAATAAATGATTGAGTTAATGAATGGATAGAGAGACAAGTGAGTGACTGAATGGGTGAATGAGGAAATGAATGAATGAGTTAGTAAATGATTGTGTGAATGAACGGATGGATGAGTGAGTGAATGGGTGAGTGAATGGGTGAGCAAGGGAAAAAAGGAGGGAGTGAATATGTAAGTGAATAAGTGAATGTATAAGTGGATGGATGGATGGGTGGATGAGTGGGTGGATGGATGGATGAGTGAGTGAGTGGTTGGGGAGATCAGTGGAGTAGCCCAGGTTCATGAATTGGGGCAGAGGCGATGGTGGGGGGAAGCAGGAGGTGGGCTGGGGCCCTGGTCAGCCTGTCCTCCCTCCACTGCTTGGCTCTGCCCCTCCCCGCAGCTGGAGCTCATCGGACACAGTATATTTGATTTCATCCATCCCTGCGACCAAGAGGAGCTGCAAGACGCCCTGACCCCCAGTCCCAGTGAGTGCCCTGCCGGCCCTGCCGCCTTGCCTCAGCATGTCCCCATGGCACCAAGGAAACAGAAGACGAGAAATGGCCTTGCTGTAGGGTTTGAGGCGATGCAACCTTACCTACCCCTGGGGTTCCAGGTCCCAACTTTGGGAATCGTGCCAGGGATCCTTAGCAGCCAGGTGATGGAGGGCACTGGGCCTTGGGCAGCTGTCCGGTGACCTGTGCCATCCCCGTGCCTCCCCAGGCCTATCCAAGAAGCCGGAGGCCCCCACGGAGCGGTGCTTTTCCTTACGCATGAAGAGCACCCTCACCAGCCGCGGGCGCACCCTCAATCTCAAGGCGGCCACCTGGAAGGTGGGCGGGGGCGGAGCCTGGGCGGGGGCGGAGCCTTGGCTGGGGGCTTGGCCTGGGGCAGAGCCCGGCTTTGAACCGAGCCTGACCAAGGGGCGGGGCCGGGGGTGGGGCGGGGCCCTGGCTGGGGGGCGGGGCCTGCCCCGGCCCCAGAACGTCTCCTAGTTGGGTGGAGTTGGTTCTTCTGGGCGTTGGATCCCGCGGTGCTCCTTCAGGCTGGGTCTAGGAGAACCAAAGGGCACCTGGGAGCTTGGGTGTCCCTGTGCCTGGGGCTGGGAGGCCTCCGTAAGGATGGAATCGGGGTCCTCAGAGCTCCCCAGCACACTCTGTGGAGTCCTCCGAGATTTCTTCCCAGCTGCCCAGAGGCATGGCTCCAGCTCCACAGGCAGCCCCAGGCCCAGGTGCACGACCCCCCCCCCCATTCTGCCCTCAGGTGCTGCACTGCTCTGGACATATGAGAGCCTACAAGCCCCCCGCACAGACGTCCCCCGCTGGAAGCCCCCGCTCAGAGCCCCCTCTACAATGTCTGGTGCTCATCTGTGAAGCCATCCCCCATCCGGGCAGTCTGGAGCCCCCGCTGGGCCGGGGGGCCTTCCTCAGCCGCCACAGCCTGGACATGAAGTTCACTTACTGTGATGACAGGTGGGAGGGGGCCCATGGCCCACGCAGCTGCCCCTCTTCCCTCTGTTCCAAAGCACTGGCTCTGCCTCCACCCCCACCCCCATCTATCTCTCTTTCTCCCTCTGTTACTGTCTCTCTCTGAGAGGGTCCGCCTGACTCTGAATTCTCTGTGGGCCTTTTTCCTTTTTATCTCTCATTCTCTCTCTCTCTCTCTCTCTCTCTCTCTCTCTCTCTCTCTCTCCCTCTCTCTTACTGTTTCCTTCTCTGTCTCTTTGTTGAGTTTCATTTTTGGTTTTTTTGGGGGGGAGGGGTTGGACAGAGTCCTGACCCAGGCTGGCCTTTAACTTCTGACCCTCCTGTCACAAGGATTACAGGTGTGCACCACCACACTTCCTGTTGCTTTTCTTAAAAGAGTCAATGCACGTGTTACAGTTAATATGGTACCCAGCATGCAGGATACCCACTCCATAAACTACTGTGATTTATTTTTTCTCTACCCTTTCATCACTTTTACTTTCTCCTCTCTGCCCTTCCTTCCCCCTCTTCCTTTTTTTTTTTTCCCCCCCTCCTTTTCGTGAAGTCATGTTCAGAAACAGCTTGGGTTTCAATCCTGGCTCTGTGTCCCTGTCCAGGTGACTTCACCTCTCTGTGCTGCTGCAGTTTTCTCAACTGTCCCGTAGACAAACTAACGGCCCCTACCCCTTTGGTCTAGTGCAGAGCATGATAGAAGTGTCTCTTGATTATTAGGGGGTTTTGTTGTTTGTTTTGTACTGGGATTGAACCCAAGGCCTCCCTCATGCCAGGCAAGCACTTGAACCACACCCCCAGCCCTTTTTGCTCAGTTATTTTTGGAATAGGATCTCATGGGTTTTTTTATGCCAGAACCTACCTGGCCCACGATCCTCCTATTTATGTTTCCCATGTGGCTGGGGTGACAGGTGTGTATCAACATGCCCAGCTACTGGGTGAGATGAGGATCTCAAACTTTTTGCCCAGGCTTCAACCCAGGATCCTACCAATCTCCACCTCCTGAGTAGCTGGGATGATAGGCATGAGCCTCCACACCTGGCTCTTACGTTGTTTTTGAGATTGGATCTTGCTACCTTTGCCTGGGATGACCCAAACTCTCAATTCTCCTACCTCTGCCTCCTGAGTAGCTGGGATAGCAGGTGTGCACGCCTGGTTTCTCTTGCATTTCTCACTCTCTCCCTTCCACTTTGTTACAACCTTGTCTCTCATTTTGCTGGCTTTGTTCCTGTGTCCCCTGCCCCTTCTCTCCACCTCAGCCCTGACCCAACCCCCTCCACTGCACCCAGGATTGCAGAGGTTGCTGGCTACAGCCCTGACGACCTGATTGGCTGTTCTGCCTATGAGTACATCCATGCGTTGGATTCAGATGCAGTCAGCAGGAGCATCCACACCTGTATGTGACCCAAATGCATGGGCTGGAGCCAGCTGCCATGTGGCCTCAGCTGCCTACACCCCAGGGAGCCTCCCCTTCCCCACCCCACACCAGCTCCTGATTCCCAACCCAAGCTCCAAGGAATCTTTTCCTCCCCAGTCCCCTCATACCCAACTCCAGTCTCCAGAGCCTCCTCTGCCCAGGTGCCCGTTCTGTGGCCCTGACCCCTTCCTCACTTCCTCAGTGCTGACCAAGGGCCAGGCAGTAACCGGGCAGTACCGCTTCCTGGCTCGGAGTGGTGGCTACCTGTGGACTCAGACCCAGGCCACAGTGGTGTCAGGGGGCCGGGGTCCCCAATCGGAGAGCATTGTCTGTGTCCACTTCCTGATCAGGTGAGCAGAGGGGCACGGGGTTGGTGTGTGTGTGGGTCTAGTCTTTGCACACGAGCATGCATGTGATTGCGTGTGGAAGTGTGCATATGCACGTGTGTGTGGCCATGTGTGTGCACACACACCTACATGTACTCGTGTGTGCTGATCATTTAAATTGAAAAGGACCCTGGAGCTGGATGGTAAAGTGCTTGCCTAGGATGCACAAGGCCCTAGGTTCCATCCCCAGCCCTGAAAAATAAATAAATTTTTTAATTTTTTTTTAAAAAAAGAAGTCAAAAGTGAGGCATGAGGCGTGATGGCTGACGCCTGTAATGTCAGCACTTGGGAGGCAGAGGCAGGATGGTTAGGAGTTCAAGGCCAGCTTGGGCTACATAGTGAGGCCCTGTCAGAGAAAGAGAGAGACAGAGCGAGAGAAGGAAGGAAAGAGGGAGGAAGGAAGGAAAGAGAAAGAAGGAAGGAAGGAAAGAAAGAAAAGAGACTAAAAAAAATAGGGGAAAAAGTAAGAAAGGACTCTAAAAGTTAAAATAAGAAATGCAGGTGGGCACCAATGACTCACACCTGTACTCCTAGCTACTCAGGAGGCAGAGATCAGGAGGATCGTGGTTCAAAGCCAGCCTGGGCAAATAGCTCATGAGACCCTATCTTGAAAAAGCCATTACAAAATAGGGCTGGTGGAGTGGCTCAAGTCATACAGTGCCTGCCTAGCAAGTGTGAGGCCCTGAGTTCAAACCATACTACTTCCAAAAAATCAAAAAGGAAGAAAGAAATGTAATGGGATCATGACAGGGTGGGAGGGTGGATTGTTTGTTTCCTTTCTAGAATATCATACACAGGAAGGCAGGCAGTATGCAGCCTTGTGGGTCTGCCTTTCTTAGCATGATATACACATGCACCTCCACCCATATAGGATTTCATCCCTATAAACCTACAGTAAGGTGAAAATATTGTAAGCCAAAAATGCATTGAATAACCAGGCATGGTGACACACATCTGTAATCCCAGCACTTAGGAGGCTGAGGCATAGGTTCATGTATTTGAGACCGGTCTGGGCTACATAGCAAGACCCTGTCTCAAAAAAAGTTAAAAAAAAAAAATCAGTGCTGGCACAGTGGTTCAAGTGGTAGCACATCTGCCTAGCAAGTACAAGGCCCTGAGTTCAAATCCCAGTGCCACAAAAAAAATCAAACAGTTTCTAATGCATTTTTTCACCATTGTAAAGTTGAAAATCGGTTGAACCACTGTGAGTCGTGGACTGTCTGTGTTTGAAAATCACCCATTGCTGTAGTGGCTGAAGCAGTACAATGCCCGCTAGCAAACTTGAAGCCAGGAATTGACCCCAGTGCTGTCAAAGAGAAAAAATAAATAACCCATGTCATGGTGCGAACCAGTAGTTTCTTTTTCATTGTACAAAATGATGGTTTCATTATGCTTTTACAACCATTCATATAATGTACTTTGAGGTTTGGGTTTTTTTTTTTTTTTTTCTTTTTTGGTGGGACTGGGGTTTGAACTCATGGTTTCACACTTGCAAAGCAGGTGCTCTACCACTTGAGCCACTCCTGGTTTTTTTTGAAGATGGGGGTCTCAATAACTACTTGCCCAGGCTGGCCTTAAACCTCCATCCTCCCAATCTCAGCCTCCCAAGTAGCTAGGATTACAGGCGTGAGCCACCAGCACCTGGCTTGTACTTTGATCTTATTCACCCCTCATCGCCATCCCTTGTCCCCCCACCCCAAGTTCCTTTTTAATGTCAGCCTTCCGCGGTGTGAATGGACCCCACTTTATTTATTCACTCACCATCTGGAGAACTTTGGGCTATTTTCTATTTTGAGTGATTGTGAAAAGAGCTACTGTAAACATTCCCATATGGGATTTCATGAGGTCACACGTTTTCATTTCCCTGGGTAAACATCTTAGAGTGGACTGGGTGGGTCATATGGGAAGTGCATGTTTAACTTCTTAAGGAGCCGGGTCACTGGTTTGCAGAGTGCCTTGCCTGCAAAGTGTGAGAGTCCCACTTGGTCCTCCTCAACAGCATTTCATGTTGCTGGGTATCTTTGCTTTCTCATTGCTCTTTTGTTGGTATTTTGAGACAGGGTTTTGCTATGTAACTCACATGATTCTCCTGCCTCTGCCTCCTGAGTGCTGGGATTACAGATGTGTGGTACCATACCCAGCTGTTTTTTTTTTTAATTTTAGTAATTCAAATAGGGATGCAGTGGTAAAATTATAGGTTTTTTTCACTGGATGACGGTGGCTCATGCAATTCAAAGCCAGACCTAGACAATTAGTTCAAGAGACCCTATCTCGAAAAAACCCATCACACAAAAAAAAAACTGGTAGAGGGGCTCAAGGTGTAGACCCTGAGTTCGAACCGCAGTACCATACACACAAAAAAATGCCCAACACACACACACACACACACACACACACACACACACACACGGCTGTCTTAAGTGGTAGAGTGCCTACCCAGCAAGTGTGAGGCCTTGAGTTCAAATTCCAGTACTGCCAAAAAAAAAAAAGGAATGCAGGAACATCAATGAAAACACTGTGAGTGGAGAGAGCAGCATGTTATCACAAGACAGAGTGAGAGGGGCCAGAGACGTGGCTCAGTGGTAGAGCACCTGCCTAGCATTCACAAGGCTCTGGGTTCCACCCCAGCACTGGGGGGAATAAAAAAGGTTACAATAAAAGCTTTTCTTTGACGGTTATCTTACAGGACATAGCACCAACTCCCAAAGCCTTAGTGCTTTTCCCAGAGCAGGGAGGTGTCTGAAATGCAAATCAATTCATGTCCACCCTTTTCCTTAACAGAAAACTCCAGGCCCTGCAAACTCCTGCCTCCCTCCCCTTCCCACTCACTCTCCAAACCCCAGGGCTTTTGCACATGCAGTTTCCCTACCCAGAATGCTTTTCTCTTATCCCCCCTCCCCTTTCTCCTGAGCCATACCCACTCATCCTGCCAGGCTCAGCTCAAATACCCATTTTTCTCTCCTAGTAGCCTGTACCTTTTGCTCCAGAGAATTTAAACTATTTGTAATCATCCTATTTACTTGTGTGTGGGGGTTAGTTTTTGTTTGTTTTATTTGCTTGTTTTTACTTTCCTTTTCTTTCTTTTTGTGTGTGTGTGTGGTATTGGGGTTTGAACTCATAGCCTCACTCTTGCTAAGCAGGTGCTCTATCACCAGAGCCACACCTCCAGTCCTTTTTGCTCTGTTTATTTGGTGATAGGTCTCACTTTTTGACAATGCTGGCCTGAACCACAATCCTATTTATACTTCCCACCGTTGCTAGGATGACAGACATGTGCCACCATGCCCAGCTTTTCCTGTCAAGATGGGGATCTCACTAACTTTTCGTCGAGGCTGGCCGTGATCCTCCCAAGCTCAGTAGTGAGGATTTTAGGCATGAACTAGTGAGATGGGGGGTGTCTTAAAAACTTCTTTCTTAGGTTGGCCTTGAACCATGATCCTCCCTGATCTCTGCCTCCCAAATATCAAGGATTATAGGCACAAGTTACTGGTGCCTGGCTTGATTTGCCATTTTCAGAATTGCAAACCCCTTCCTCTGCTGCATTATTTTTCCATAGTGTTTATCACTGTCCTAACACTGTCCCGCCAAATTGTGATGCCAGCCGCACATGTCATTTTGTATTTTCTAGTGGTCATGTTAAGGTAAAAAGAAACAGGTAAAGGTCAGGTGTGGCAGTGAACATCTGTAATCCCAGCTACTCAGGAGACTAATGCAGGAGGATCAAAGTCTGAGGCTGGCCCAGACAAGTGCAAGAGACTCTATGTGAAAAACAAACAGAAAGCAAAAAGGAATGGAGTGGTAGAGCACCTGTCTAGCAAGCACATGGCCCTGAGTTCAATTCCCAGTACCACTAAAAAATAATAAGAAGAAGAAGAATGCCTGTAAGCAATCCCAACTACTCAGGAGGCAGAGATCAGGAGGACTGTGGTTTGAAGCCAGCCTGCGCAAATAGTTCATGAGACCCTATCTCGAAAATACCTAACACAAAAATAGGACTAGTGTGGTGGCTCAAGGTGTAGGCCCTGAGTTCAAACCCCAGTACCAAAAAAAAAAAAAAAACAGGTAGAATTAATTTTAACAGTAATTTCTGTGTGTATGTAGGGGGAGTGAAAGGTCTGAGAGCTGTTTGTAGCTATTTACTTATAAACATCTTCTAATAAGTGTACTGGTAAATACATGCATATGTATTGTATGTATGTATTTTTTTGAGGCAGGGTCTCTCTGTAGAACAGCTTGACTGGGATTTGTTCACGGAATGAACGAAGGAGTGAACTCCGTGTGGCATATGTGCAGGACCGGAGGTGTGGAGGACATAAGAAGGGTGTATTTATAAACCCGTTCCCTGGCAGATGAAAATGTCTATGAATAGAAGCTTCCTAAATAAACGCATATTCATAAAAATACAGTCCTATGAATTCTTCATATTTGGTAATGAAATGAAGGTTATGTTAAAAATATATTTATCACCGGGCACAGTGGTGCATGTCTGTAATCCCGGCAGGGAGTGGGGGGAGGGAGCTGAGGCAGGTGGAGGATCACGAGTTCCAGGCTAGTCTGAGCTACATAGAAAGACCCTGCCTCAAAAAATAATAATAGCATATATTTATCAGTACCCTATGAGAAGATGCTTATATGTAAATATCTACCTAGAGAATATTTGGCTCTAAGACCTTTGCTCCCTCCCCCGATGGCCCCTGGGTCTCCCCACGGTGTCCCTTCTCCTCCTCCCCTCTTCCTCTCTCAGTGCCCCACCCCAGCCTCCCTTTTCTCCACGCAGGCTATGCTGGATGTCAGGTCTTTATTCTTTCTTTGCACAGAGGGACCCAGAAGGTGACAAGCTTCATTTGTTGAGCGGCCCTTAGACAAAATGCTCAAGACCGCAACTGTTTCTGAGCTCAGATTTTTTTCTTTCCTAATTTTTTTGTTGTCATATTATTGTACTGGGGGTACACTGTGACATTTACAAACATTCTTACGATATACCACAGTTGAATTCACCCCATCCACTATCCTCCTTTATCCTCTCTCCCCCATTCCTAGAATACTCTCAACAGGTCTCATGTTTCCATTTTCATACATGAGTACATAATATTCCACCATATCCACCCCCCTACACCCTTTCCTTATGTCCTCCTCCCACTGGTGCCAACCCCCAGACAGGACCTGTTCTGTCCTGTTCTCTGTTTTTGCAAAAAAGACATTTTCATTTAAGTTGTCTATACAGCGTTTCATTGCGTGTATATGTTTTATAACCCAAATTGGTTCATCCCCTCTATTTTTCTCCTTTCTACCTTAGTTCCTTTCTTATGGTGATTTCATACAGGCTTAAAAATTCTCTATTCATTTTTGTATAGAAAGTACATCAACTATATCCACCTTATTAACTCCCTCTTTTGTCCTCCCCTTCTCGTATGTGACCTCCCCTAGCATGACCTGTTTTTATAACAGTGCTTGTCTTTGTGTTGTGTCTGTCTTGGGCTGAGCTCAGATTTTTTTTTTACAGATTTTGAAATCTTTCTTGGTGGCACTGGAGTTTGAACTCAGTGCCTAGCACTTGCTAGGCAGGTGCTCTTGAGCCACTCCACCAGCCCCTTTTTAGTGATGGGTCTTTTTCGAGATAAGGTCTCACTAAGTATTTGCCCAGGATTGGCTTCAAACCGTGATCCTCCTGATCTCTGCTTCCTGAGTAGCTGGGATTACAGGCATGAGCCACTGGTGCCTGGTTAAGACTGAGATTTTTGCATAAACATAATGATGTTTCTTGGGGGTAGAACAATCCAAGTCTACACACAAAATTATTGTTTCCTGTGGTGCTGGAAAATGAACTCAGGGCCATGCAACTCCTAGGCAAGCACTCCTACCACCTGAGCCACGCTGCCAGTCTTTGGGCTTTTAGTTTGTTTTTCAAATAAGGTCTGGCACTTTTGCCTGGGCCAGCCACAGACCACAATCCTCCTGCCTCTGCCTCTCAAATAGCTGGGATTATAGGCATGCATCACCACGCCCAGGACACAAAATTAATTAATGTGTTGTGTATACCTCATACATAGAGCCTGAAGGTAATTTTATACACTTTTTAATAGTTTTGCCCATGAAACAGAATTTCACAAGATGGAATATTTTCCAGGTGTGGTGTCATGTCAGTGCTCCACAAGTTTCAGATTCTTGAGCTTTTCAGATTTAGGATTTCTAGATTAGGGATGCTCAACATGTATAATAAAAAGCAACCAACAAAAATCCTGAGAATAGGGCTGGGTATGGTGGCTCACACCTGTAATCCCAGCTACTCAGGAGGGGGAGGTAGGAGGATCATGGTCTGAGGCCAGCCATGGGCAAAGTGCCCTCCAGCCCTTGGATGCAATCGCCTTCTGTAGTGGGACATCACCTGAAGGGACTGTGGGGGTTGGGACTCAGTGTCCTGTCTCCACTTCCCTTTCTGTCTTGCTCCCCAGCCGGGTGGAAGAGACTGGAGTGGTCCTGTCCCTAGAGCAAACGGAGCGACACTCTCGCAGACCCCGTCAGCGGGGCACCTCCTCTCAGAAGGACGCCTCTAATCCTGGGGCCAGGCTTGGTATGGATGTGTCTGTTGTGTCCCCAGGACCCTTGGACAAAAACCCAATGCCTTAACGCAGCTCATGAGGCCCAGTGGCACCCGGCCCCTCCTCCTCCTTTCCCTTGTCACTCCCTCTCGGAACTATGTGGCTTCCTGAGACCACCTGGAACCTGCCAGACTCTTGCTCCCCTCAGAGCCTTTGCAAATGCAATTTGCCCTGCCAGTCCTCCCTTTTCTCCTGCCACTGCTTCAGGCTTTTGTTACCCTCTGCTCTGAATGCTGCTATGGCTCCCCATTGCCGGCACCTCACGGGGATTTGAACTGGGGCCTCACTTGTGCCACTCCCCAGGCCCAGGCTTTAGTAATCTTGATCCTCCTAAGTCCTCTTCTCCCTTCTCCCCCACCCCATCCTGGACAGGCTAAGCTTCCCTCCCTCCTCCAAGCTGTGGCTGGCAACCCATCTGTTTTCCTTTTCTGGCTCAGAGTTGGGTGCTTGACTCCCAGACACCTTCCAAAACTATCTTAGGGGCCCCAGGCCAGTGTTTTCTGCATGCCCCCACAGTTGAATGTCTGAATACTATTTTGGGTCACCAGGTCCTTCCCTGTAGAACCCTTGGATGTGGACATGTACAATTAAAGAGAAAGGCCTGGGCCCCATGGAACTCCCACCTCTTCTCCCCTTCCAACTCACCAAACCTCAGGACCTTTGCACATGCGGTTCCCCCTATCCAGAATGCTCTGCTCTTGTCTTTCCTCCCCACTCATCCTCCAGTCTCTCAGCTCAGCCATCACTTCCTAGTGTCTGACTACACACTGGCAACTGGGGTGAAAGAGCACCGAGACCAGCAGAGACTCCCCAGCACTGAGAACAGTGCCTGTCCTGAGGGGTTGTGGAAGATGTCAACTGTGTACGCCAAGCTTGGTGTGGGGGGCTCTGACCCTTGGCCCTCCCCCATTCCACAGACGCCCCTGGTCCCCGGATCCTGGCCTTCCTGCACCCCCCTGCCCTGAGTGAAGCTGCTCTGGCTGCTGACCCCCGCCGATTCTGCAGCCCTGACCTCCGTCGCCTCCTGGCACCCATCCTAGATGGGCCCTCGGGAGCCGCCACACCCAGCATGCCACAGGCTGCACAGCGTCCCCAAAGTCCTCTTCCGGTAAGCAGTCCTCCCCACCTGAGCCCTCAGGACCTAGGCTGCCTCAGCCTTTAGCTTCCGCCCTGCTGCTTTTAGTTAATCTGTCTGTGTAAAGGGAAGGTGGGATAAGATGGGGCTGGGATTCCTTTAAGACTTAGATTCAAAAGCTGGGAGCATGGCTCAAGTGATAGAGGGTCTGCCTTGCAAGTGCAAGGCCCTGAGTTCAAACCCCAGTACTATCAAAAATTAAAAACAAAACAAAAAAAAAACCATAGTTTCCAGATGCTTCAACTGCTGGAATTCCAGATTCCAGCCCCAGCAGGGTTTGGAACCCCCAGGACATTTGACCTGGTACAAGGGACACCAAGTATCCAGGCTGTGTGAACTTCAACCAAAAAGTGAGGAATGTGTGATATCTGGATGTACACAGATCCACACTCAAATTCTGAATCTACTGCTTACCAGCTATCACTCCCTCCATGGATGAGAAAATTCTTGGGGTCCCAGTTTCTTCCCCAGTAAAATGAGAAGAAGCCAGGTTTGGTTGTACCTGCCTATAATTCCAGCACTCGGGAGGCAGAGGCAGGAGGATCACAGTTTGAGGACAGCCTGGGCTACATAGTGAGATACTGTCTCAGAGAGAGAGAGAGAGAGAGCACTTAGTGAACACAATGAACTCTAGCAGCTACCATTTTTACCAGAGTGCAGTCTGACCTCTGACCTCATAGGGTCCATGTTACCTGCTGGTGTCTGTACTCATTCCCACCCTCCACTCCAAGAAAATATCTCCACTCCATGTGAACTTTACCTTACCCTTTACCCCTGGGACAAATGGACTCTGCACTGTGTTCCCCCAGGCTGCAAACCCAAAAACTCTTAACCCCTGAATGTCTCAGCTTCTGGCTCTGATCATTCTGTTCTTTGACATCTGCCCTGTGGACCTGTACAGCACCTGGGCACACTGACATTTGAACACCCAGGGTCAGAACTCATTTGCAAGCTGGGCACAGGTGGCTCACACTTGTAATCCTAGCTACTTGGGAGGCAGAGATCAGGAGGATTGCAGTTCAAAGCCAGCCAGGACAAATAGTTCAAGAGACCCTATCTTGAAAAAAACCTAACACAAAACAAGACTGGCAGAGTGGCTCAAGTGGTAGAGTGCTTGCCCATCAAGCAATGAGGCCCTGAGTTCAAACCCCAGTACTGCCGGAAAAAAAAAACTCATTTGCATTTGCTCTTTGACACCCTCCCTTTGGGGCCCCAGCTGCCTGACAATTACCCCCACTTCTACCTGAGCTCCAAACCCCCACGCCCCCACCAAGTTCCCGACCTCCTGAGTTTCTGCTCCATTTCCCCACAGGCTGATCTCCCTGATGAGGTACTTGTGGGCATGGAGCATGCACGCAGACTCTTCGCCACTGGGAAGAACCTGGAGTCAGGGGAGACAGATCTAGATATAGCTCAGGTGAGGGCCGGCACAGAAGGGACATCCGTGCTCTGGGAACCAGCCCATCTGGCATTAGAGAAGGGAGGAGGAGGGATGGATGGATGGATGGGTAGATAGGTGGGTGAGTGGATAAGTGGATGGATGGATGGATGGATAGACAGGTGGACAGATGGATGGATGGACCATAGTATTAACTAGCTGGATCATGGTAGATGGATGGATGATGTTTGGATGGATGGGTTGATGGATGGATGGGTGAGTGGATTTGTGGATGGTTGGATGGACAGATGGATGGATAGATGGACAGAGGGATGGGTGAACGGATGGACAGAAGTATGGATAGGTGGGTGAGTGGATAAGTGGATGAATGGATGGACAGATGGATGGATGGGTGGGTGGGTGGACCATTGTGTTAACTAGGTGGCTGATGGTGGATGGATGGGTGCGTGGATGGATGGATAGATGAGTGGACTATTGTATTCACTAAGTGGCTGATGATAGATGGGTGGATGATGTTAAGCAGATACTTGGCACTTGGATGAATAGATGGATGGATGAACGGGTGGATGGATGAATCATCGAGTGGATAGTTGGATAGATGGACCATTGGTTCTTTGGGTGGATGAAATTGACTAGATGGTTTGGATAGATCACTGATTGAGTAGATAGCTTAAGTAGATAGTAGTAGATATCACCGTAAAATAACTAGCATTTCTTATGCAACCTGTTTTCTGTGAAGCAACAATGCGGGGTAGTTTAGCTGGGTGGGTTTTACTCAGAGTCTCTCATGAAGTTGAAGTAAGGCTCTCAGACCAGCACCGTAGTCATCTGGGGCTTGAGGATTTGCTTCCTAGTTCATGTCCACAGTGCTGGCTCCCTTCAGTCCCTCACTGCATCTGGATGAAGCCTGTTTCTCACCACATGGGGATCTCCAGAGGCTGTATAATGTACCCACAACATGGAACTCAGTTTCCAATGTCATCCCACTTCTAGAAGTTGGGCTGGTTTAATGTGGCCCAAAGCCCCACCAATGAATCACACATTTGGTGTTTGTGACATGGCAAGTCCCCATCTTGATTCATCTCATTAACAGAAAATATCCTGAGTCACTGTGTCACCTTGTTAGCATAAGCTATTTGGTGGCCCAAGGAGCCTCTAATGAATAGCAAAAGATATTGGTGTCACTTGGGAACTTCACAGGTCTTAAGGTGACCTCCCAGGAGCTGAACAAAGGGGAAAGGTAACTGTTCACTACATGCAGATTTCAAAACCTTCACATACCAGCTCCTTCATGTCTAACATTTTTCCCATTAGCTTTTCTATCTTCTCTTCCCTTTTTACTGCACATAGCAAGAAGAAATCAGGCAGTCTCTTCAACTCAGCTGGGTTATCAAGTTCCTCCCTTACACTTTCCACCTTCCAGTTACTGCAGGCAACAGTGTTTTCAGCCACTAGAAAACACAAGAAAAGTCTCAGGGCCAGTCATGGTTGTACATGCCTGTAATCCCTGCTACTGGAAGGCATAGGTAGGAGGATGGGGTCTGAGCAGGCCCCAGACAAAAACTCATGACCATATCAGAAAAATGACTAAAGTGAAATAGGCTAGAGGAGTGGCTCAAGTGGTAGAGCGCCTCCCTCACAAGTGTGAGGCCCTGAGTTCAAACGTGGTGCCACCAAAAAAGGAAAAGAAAAATTTCCTTTCCTCCAGCTTCCTGTACCATGTTCTTCACTTCCTTTCAGCTCCCAATGGCAGACACAAGGTTCACTTTTATTTATTTGTTTTCAGCACACTGGGGTTTGAACTCAGGGCCCCACATTTGCTAGGAAAGCGCTCTACCACTTGAGCCACTCCACCAGCCACTTTTTGTGATGGTTTTTTTCAAGATAAGGTGTTGGGAACTATTTGCCCTCAGTTGGTTTCGAACCACAATCCTCCTGATCTCTGCCTCCTGAGTAGCTACAATTACAGGTGTAAGCCACTGACACCTTAAGTGAACATTTTAACAAATGGTTTGTTCAAGGCATTTTAGGATTTCTCTAGTATGTCCTTCAGAGTCTGCCCAGCACTCCTGCCAGGTTCCAAAGCCCCTGCCATATTTTAGATCATTATATGGCAGTCCCCCACTTTTAATGCCAAAATCTTATTCATATGCATTTCTGGGTCATCAGTTACCTCAGAACTTAGCAGAACTACCCTCACAGAATTCCCAAGGGCCAGGGTCTGGGAGCCATGTAGCTGGTGGCTTTGGTTCAGAGTCTCCCATGAGGCTGCCGTCATGTGAAAGCCTGGCTGGGATCAGAGGATCCTCTCCCAAGGTCACTCACTAGGTGGTGGCAAAAGTTCTCAGTTCCTTTCCTGTGCATGACAGGGCTTTCCCCAGAGCAAGGAATGAGAGACAAGAGAGGTGGGGGAGAAAGGGAGGGGGACCAAGAGACAGACAGACAGAGAGTGAGGAGGGGGAGAGGGAGGGGCTGACACCGAGATAGAAGAAGAAGGAAAGGGAGGGAGGAGGAGAGAAGAGAGGAACAGATATACAGACACAGAAACAGAAGGAGAAGGAGAGGAAGAGAGGGAGGGAGGGAAAAGAGGGTTGAACAGATGGAGAGAGAGGTGGGAAAGAGAGAAGACAGAGGAAGGGGGACAGAGACAGACAGAGAGGAGAGAAAGAGAAAGAAGAGAGACAGACAACTAGAGGGGGGAAGAGACAGACAGGCACAGGAATGGAGGGAGGGAGAGGACAGACGGAGGGAGAGAGAGAGAGATAGGGAGAGAGACAGAAGACAGACAGAGGGGGGAAGGGAACAGATAGAGCTAGAGAACATGAAAGCAGGAGAGACGGACAGACAGAGAGGGAGGGAGAGGGAGAGAGAGTGAAGATATACCACTGTGCTCTTTATAACTGAATGTGGAAGTCACACAAAACCTATCCTGTTTCCAGATTGGCCTAGTCACTGTGCCAGGTGGCTGCACCAGGGTGTGAGTGCCAGGAGGGAGGCTCCTTGGGGCCATCTTGGTGACTACCACCCAGTCCCTGTGCCCATTTTAGAGATGGGGAACGGTAGTTCAGACAGCCCCCGGCACCTGGCTGGGAGCAGTGGAGGCTGGAGCGCTGACCCCCTGCCTCTGCAGGATGCCGACGCCCTGGACTTGGAGATGCTGGCTCCATACATCTCCATGGACGACGACTTCCAGCTCACCTCCAGCGAGCAGCTGCCCAGGGCCCGCCAAAGACCTGCAGGTGCCATCCGCCGGCCCCGAGCGCGGAGCTTCCATGGCCTGTCACCCCCAACCCCTGAGCCCACCCTGCTGCCCCGCTGGGGGAGTGACCCCCGACTGAGCTGCTCCAGCCCTTCCAGAGGGGACCCCTCAGCACCCTCCCCTGTGACCGGGGCTCGGAAGAGGTGAGGAGGACATAACAGGGTAGAGAGGTCCCCACCTGCCTGTCTTTCCCCTGCTTCCTCCTTCAGCCTCGTCCTCAGTCATTCTTCCTGCCCTGATCTCACTCACCCCAGACAGGCCCTCAGTGTCCCCAGCACAGGCTTAGTTAGCTCCTGCTTTTATGCCTTTGCCCAGGCCATGTCCCCTTCCAGAATGCCCTCCACTTTGCACGCTGTTTATCCAAATCCTACCACACCCACGATCTCTCCTTTGGACATACTAATTTAGTAACACTTTTTGTCATAGTTAAAGAGACATTGCAGGCTGGGCATGGTGGTGCATGTCTGTAATCTCGGCACTTGGGAGGCTAAGGCAGGAGGATGGAGAGTTTCAGGCCAACCTGGGCTACACACACGCGCACACACACACACTTTTGCGTATAATTTCAGGGTGACCATGTCTCCCTTGCAGACATTAGATTACTATTACTCAAGGTCTTGCTCTCCAAACTGCAGCCACTCGCCTGCCTGGTCTCCACAGAAGTCTCTTTTCTATTCTTATGAGGCTTTGATGGGTACAACTTGGTATATCCCAAGATGCCCAGCTTGAGGATGTTTATACACTAGGTGTCTAATAAAGATTTATTAAATGAAGAAGATAGGGAATTAGTGAACAGAGTGAGCAGGGTTATGGCTGGATAGGTGGATGGGTGGATGGATGGGTGGACAAATGGATGGATGGATGGATGGACAGATGGATGGATGGCCAAACAGACAGATGGATGAACAATGGATGGATGGATGAATGGATGGATGGATGGACGGATGGACGGATGGGTGGACAAATGGACAGATGGATGGATGTACAAGTGGATGAGTGGATGGATGGATGGATGGATGGACAGACAAATGGATGGATGGATGGATGTTGAGCGGATGGATAGATAGGTGGAGGAACAGAAGGACAGATGGATCACCAGGTGGATGGATGGGAAGATGGAGCGGTGATTAGATGAATAGATGAATGAATGAGTGGGCTGGTGGATAGATAGGTGGTGGGTGGATGGGTGGGTAGATAGGTAGATGAATGAAAGGAGACACATCTGGAAGTTGGCTGGGTGGACAGGAGATGGACCATAGACAGAGGAATGGGAAGATGGGTTGGTGGGTGGCCATGAAAGTAGGAGGATGCGTGGATACACATTGCCTCCTCATACAGGTGTCTGCCCTTACCCAGCTTTGCTGTGTTCTGAGAGTCTTAACCTGTTTTTCTCCAGGGCCCTGGCCCAGAGCTCAGAGGACGAGGGGGCAGAGCTGCTGGGAGTGAGGCCCCCCAAAAGGCCCCCCAGCCCAGAATCCGGAAACTTCCTGCTGCCTCCTCTCAGCCTGGTATGTTTGGGAGTTGTGGGGATTCTCTGGTCTCAGATCCTAGCAGGCTTAAACCTCCTCTTTTATAGATGGGAAACCAGAGAGGGCCAAGGGCTGGCTGAAGGTCAGGCAGAAGGTCAACGGTCCAGCAGAAGCCAGGACCTTGATCTTCTAGTTCCACTAATGGGTATGAAAAGGCTTTGCAAATATGTGATAAGTGCCAAGAAGACACACTAAGCATGGTAAGGGGGAAATGAGGTAGTCAGTCTCAGTAGGAATCTTCTCTGCTTCCATGGGACCCCTCCCCAAACAAGAACAGCCTTGGCCTGAGCTGACACTCAGTGGGCTGCCATTCAGTGATGCACAAAAACAACCAAACCAGCCAAGCACAGTGATACAAACCTGTAATCCCAGCTACTCAGAGTCAGAAATCAGGAGGATCTCATTTCCAGGCCAGCCTAGGCAAAAAGTTAGCAGGACCTATCTCAACAAAAAGCTGGGCAGAGTGGTACATGTCTATAATCCCAGCTCTGGGGAGGCATAGGTAGGAGAATCATAGTCCAAAGCCAGCCTGGGCAAGCACAAGACCTTTCTGAAAAATAAGTAAAGCCAAAAGGGCTGGGGTGTGGTTCAAGTAGTACTTGCCTAGCAACCACAAGGCCTGCATTCAAACCCCCGTACAAAACAAGGCAAACAAAACCCCCCACAAATCAGCCTCCCTCCAGTCTTCTTGCTTCCAGTCTGGCTTCTATTGTCCTTTTTGCACAACAGCAAACAGAATGCCCTTTCTACCAGCCAGCCTGGACTGTGTCACTTCTACAAGGCCTCCCTCCAGAACCTCCCATGGCTCTCTGATGCCTGCAGAATTCCCTGGCTCCTTAATCTACAAAAGGACCTTTGAACATAAAGGGTGTGATTAGTAATACTGGGACCAGCACCATGGGGTTCCAGCAGGGGTGACAGGTGATCCCTGGACCCTGGAGAGAGCAGGGGCTCCCTGATAGGGGCTGAAACCTTCCATGGAAGGACACAGCCAATCCACAGAGACCCAGGAGGGAAGCAGCTAAAAGAACAAATACCCACTTCCTCCACCCGCCTGCTGGGTCTCCTCTGTGCTGAGCCCAGTGGGAACACAGCAAGGTCACATAGCGATGTGGTTCATGTACTGTCAGCCTCCTGGGGCCCACAGCAGTGGAAGGAGGGAGGAGGCTCTGGAGGAACACACAGGGTGTCCAGGACAATGACTTGCCCAAGTCACACTGCTGGCAGGTGCCCACTGGACCCCACCAATGCTCTGAACTAGAGTACCATCCTTCCTTTTTGGATATCGGTGATGCTGATCAGGATGATGGTGGTGGTGATGATGGTGGTGATAGTGGTGGTGATGGTGATGGTGGTGGTGGTGATGGTGGTGGTGGTGATGGTGGTGGTGATGATGGTGATGGTGGTGGTGGTGATGGTGGTGGTGGTGGTGGTGATGGTGGTGGTGGTGATGATGGTGATGGTGGTGGTGATGATGGTGATGGTGATGATGGTGATGGTGATGTGATGGTAATGGTGGTGGTGGTGATGTGATGGTGATGGTGATGGTGGTGATGGTGATGGTGGTGGTGATGGTGGTGGTGGTGATGGTGGTGATGGTGATGGTGGTGGTGGTGGTGGTGATGGTGATGGTGGTGATGGTGGTGGTGGTGGTGATGGTGGTGATGGTGGTGGTGATGGTGATGGTGGTGGTATATGTGGCGGTGATAGTGATGGTGATGTGGCGGTGATGGTGATGTGGTGGCGATGGTGATGGTGATGGTGGTGGCAATGGTGGTGGTGGTGGTGATGTGGTGATGGTGATGGTGGTGATGGTGATGGTGGTGATGGTGGTGGTGGTGATGTGGTGATGGTGATGGTGGTGGTGACAGTTGTGGTGATGGTCATGGTGATGGTCATGGTGATGATGATACTGATGGTGGTGGTGATGGCGCCTTTGTCTCTCTTCCACAGAGTTTCCTTCTAACAGGAGGACCCGCCCCAGGAAGCCAGCGGGATGCTGACGCCCCACTCTTGGACATGAATGAGCCCTTGGGTGAGTGACAACCTGGGCATACAGAGGTCCTGGCTCTCCCTCTCCCCAGGAAGATGACCTGGATGGTTGATCTCCACAGAGGGCTGACTCTGCCCCGAGGGTGATGGGGGACAGTTAGTACCCCCAAGGTGACCTTGGTGGAAACAGGAGGCCCCTTCCTCCTCTCCAGGTCCTTGCGGCAGGGGGAAGACTGTAGGGGAGGGGGAAGGGACTTGCCAAGGTGGAAAGTCTTGGGAGGCTGAAGCAAGAGGACAAGGGGTTTGAGGCCAGCCTGGGCTACACACTGAGTTTAAGACCAGCCTGGGCTGCATAGTGGTTCAGAGCCAACCTGGATTACATAGTAATATGCTGTCTCAAAAAAAGAAAGAAATAATGTCCCCAGTTGTGGCCACAGTGGCAACACTGGTACACAGCCTCTCCACGAGCGTGAGTCAAGCTGCAGCACTTGAAGCTCCAGGCACAAGTCAGAGGGGTCTTTCCAAAGTATGAATCTGACTCAGGCCCTCCTGTGCTCTAAACCCTGCTATGACTCCCTAGTACCCTTCAGAGAAAGATCAAACTGCTCAAGTCACTGCCAGCTTAGGCCGCTGCTTCATCTCAGACCACACTCTGCTTCACACACTCTGTTTCAGCCACAGTCACTGTCTTTTGGTTTACCCCTTTCTTTATCCACATAAAAATGGCGAACACTGTAAATTTCAGGCACTGTCTTGGTGCTAGAGATACACTGTGACTGAAACATATAGAAATCCCTGCCCTGATGGAACTGATGCTCTAGTGAGGGACAGACACCAAAACTAAGAGACAAGTGCAATAAAAAAAAAATTGCAAGAGATGCCAGACATGGTGATGCATGCCTATAATCCCAACTATTCAGGAGGCAGAGGTAGGAAGATCATGAGTTTGAGGCCATTCTGGGCAAAAGTGGCAAGACCCTGTCTCAAAAACAAAATGCAAACCAAAAGGGCTCAAGTGGTAGAGCCAATGTCTAGCATGCAAATAATACATACCAGAGAAAAAGAGTTCTGGGTGGTGGGAAGGGGAGTGGCTGTTCTAGGCAGACCCAACAGCAATTGCAAAGGTCCTAAAAGGGAAGTGTCTGTCTGTCTCATTTGGGGAAAAGCAAGGCCAATGTGGCAGAGGCAGAGGCCTGGGGCACTGTGGTGACTTTAAAATTGTCTTGCTTGAGCAAACTGCTTCAGGACCTTTGCACATCCCAGTGCCTCTGCCTGGAGCACCTTTTCTTGTATTCTTTGCCTAGTCATATCCTATAGCTTTCATATCAAATATGCCTCCTTCCTTACCCTCCCTCGCTCCATAAGCTCGTGTCTTGCAACATTCATTGGTACAATTGATTGGTTTGTGTGTGGATTTGAGGCCAGGGCTGTCCAGGTCATTGCTGGTCACTACCAAGTGCTCAGTCTGAGCAGGCTTTGTGCTCAGTCTCATTGGCTGGACTGTCAGCCCCACCGGAGCAGGGACTTTCCCCTTCTCCCTTTGTTTTTACAGTGCCAAGAGTGAAACTCAGGGCTCTGCACATTAACACTTGAGCCACACCCCCGGCCTACCTTGGCTTTTTTTTTTTCTTCTTCTTCTTTTATTCATATGTGCATACAATGTTTGGGTCATTTCTTTACCTCGGCTTTTTGACACAGGATCTCACTTTGTAACCCAGACCAGCCTTAAATTCACAATCCTCCTACCTCAGCCTCCTGAGTAGCTGGGATTACAGGCATGAGCCACTGCGCCTGGCCTGAACTTAGGTTGTTAACCATAGCTGTATTTGCTCAAGAGTTCACTGGTGTTGGAACCTTCCTCACCATCTTGCTTTTAACTCCGGGGTCAGGGGAGAAGGACAGGTCTGGTGTTCCTTTTCCCCTGGTTTATGTTCAGTCTTTCCCCACAGGCCTGGGCCCCTCGCTGCTCTCTCTCTACCCTGACGAAGACGCCGCTCAGCCCAGGAGCCACTTCACCCCAGCCGCAGGCTTGGCGCAGGTCCACTGAGCCAGCCCTCCGCCCTCCTCCCCTCTCCTGCCCCAGAAAGGACCTCAGCCACACTCCTCGCCGGCAGCCACGCACAGGATGGGGCACCTCTCTGCCGAGCTGCCCCTGCCAGCCTGGGGCCTACCTCAGCCCCCACCCCTCTGCCCACACCCAGTCTAGGGCTCCTAGGGGTGGATTCAGCTCAGTGACCTCGGGGAGGGGTCTCTCGCCCCTCCTCCTCCTCTCAGGACTTCCTCTGGGGCTCTCCATACCTGGTTACCTCACTACCCCTTCCTCTGATTCTTGGTTTTATTTTGAGGAATTCGGGTGGGGAGAGGTGGGAGTCAAATGTGCTTCTGGCTCTGGGGGGTAAGGATAGCCATATTTACATTTCTGTCCTTTTTTAAAATCTTTGTTATTTCCATGATAAGGTTTTTAATCACTAGGAACTGCACGGGGTCCACACAATGTGGGACCCTGGCCTCCCCCTCAGGTGTCAGTCGGTGAGGCTCTGGGCCCGACCTCACCCCCGCGATTCTGATGGGGGTTCAGCCTCCCAAGCTGACCTTCTACTCTGGACTTCCCGCCACCTCCAGCCTCACCTGGACAGTGACAACACTCACAGTCCTCCTGTTGTAGCGGTAGCACACCGACTTCCTCCACTTCCAGACCACATGACCTCCGGCCTACCCTGGTTCTAGACTGTGTGACCTTTGACCTCTCTGGTTCTAAACTGTGTGACTTCTGACCTTTCCTGGTTCTAAGCCTTCCCTGTTTCTAGGCTCCGTGGCTTACAGCCCTCCCTCATTCTAGATCATGAAACCGCCAACACTTTCTAGTTTTAAACTTCATGGCCTCTGGCCTTCCCTGGTTCTAGACCATGTGACTTCTGACCTTTCCTGGTTCTAGATTATGCAACCTTCGGCCTTCCCTGGTTCTAGACTGTGCAATCAATCCCCAGCCTTCCCTGATTCTGGAGTATACCACGTCCGCCATGTTTTGCTGCAGCTTCCTCCAAGCCTCTCTGATTCTAAATCTCACCATCTTCAACACTTTCTTGTTCTATTCCTCACAACTTCCAATTCTGCCTGTTTTCAAGCTTCTCAATGTCCAAAAAAAATTGGTTCTAGAGCCTCCACCCTAGAGCCTGTGGCCACCAGCTTCCTCCAGCTCCAGAACTCATTCTGTACTTTCGTCTGATTCTAGTCCTGTACCTAAAAATCACTCTGGTTCTCGTCTCACACCCTCCACCTTTGAGTCCAGATCTGATGATTGGTGATTGCCTCAGCTTCTGGACTCCACAACTCCAAGCTTCCTGTTTGTTCTAGTCTTCCTGATCTCCAATTCATTTGGCTCCAAATCCAGACCTTGTAATTTGTGAATCATTTTAGTTCCAAGCCTATGGGGGCCTAGTTCATTCCCCTTCAACTCTCTGCACTCAAGAATTGCTTTCAAGCTGGGTGCTGGAGGCTCACGCCTGCAATCCTAGCTACTCAGGAGGCAGAGATTAGGAGGATCGAGGTTCAAAGCCATCCTGGGCAAATAGTTCTCGAGACCCTATCTTGAAAAAAGCCATCAAAAAAGGGCTGGTGGGGCTGGAGGTGTGGCTCAAGTGGTAGAGCTCCTGCCTTGCAAGTGCAAGGCCTTGAGTTCAAACCCCAGTACCACCACCAAAAAAAAAAAAAAAAAGGGCTGGTGGAGTAGCTAAAGGTGTAGACCCTGAGTTCAAACCCCAGTACTGCAAAAAACAAACAACTTCTGATTATATAGACCTAGCCTTACAAGTTTCTCTGGTTCTAAATCTTACACACTCAACCCCCTTTGTTTCTAGATCTTCTGACTCCAAAATCCCTCTGGTTCTAGAACTTGGGCCTTGGGTTTTTTCTAATTTCATGATGACTCAACCCCTCTGGTTCTAGGCCTCACAGCTTCCAAATGCCTCTGATTTCAGGTCCAAATTCCTCAGGCTTAAGAACTCAGCCTCCAAATACTTCTTTTTTATAATCTAGGTCTCACCCTGTGGATTCCTCTGATCCCAAGTCTTTCAGCCCGACTCCCTGACTCCAGACCTGACCCCTCCTAACTCCATTCTGGGCTCCGCACCTGCACAGAACCTGCTCTAATTCCTTCCCTCAGTCTTCCCATGATCCATCCGTACCCTCCAGCCCTTCCGCTCGTGAACTTCAAGCTCCTCTAACTTCATAGCCCTGATTTCTCTACCTTAGAACCCCTTTCACTCCCCAACCCAACTCTCCAGACACGCACTTACCTTGGCTTTACCCCAGGTGTCTGGGGGACCTGGGGCTCCTTCCCCCTTTTAGGAGGTTCACAATCCAGGCCACTTCTCCAGCCGCACAGGCACACGCACATCCCTATCTACATATCTCAGGGTGGGGAGAGAGGCTAGGACTCCTCGGCTCTCTGCCACCAGCTAAGTGTCCTTCTAATCCCCTCAGCTCCCCTCCTATGATGGTGCTACTCTCGGTCTCCCACAGGAAAAAGCTCCCCCCCAGCCCCATTCACCCCCTCTTTGGAAGGCACCACTTACTCTGTTTTGTCAGGTGGTGGGCTGTCCAGGTTGGTGCTATGGGGAGAAAGGGGATGACCCTCGTCCCTCAGGGGTGACATGGGCCCTCAGTGAACTGAACTGTGCTGGGGTGGGGGAGGGAAGGGCCTAGTCCAGCCATGCTGGCTGAGAGACCGACAAATGTCTCCAGAACCACCATAAAGAACTTGCCTTGGTAGGCACCAGAGTTCTGTGTGTTGGCTCCTTTGTGGTATCACTTCGGGGCTGTGGACACACTGGGTGGCTAGTGTCCATGTTACCCATGGTCTGTGTATGTGTGTGTGACCATGTGTTTCTGAATAAGTTTATGTCTTGTGTCTGGTGGTGTCATCCTGGGGAGACATATGGGTCTTTGTGACAGACTTCTGCAGACCTGTGTTGTACACAGGAAGGACCTGGGTTGTCCTTCCTTCTACCTGTGTGTGTCAGTAGCTGGGTGAAATGATTCTGCCACGTGTGTGCTTCTGGTTACTGATGTGGGAAGCGTTGTGACTTTTTATGGTTCTGTGTGATGTTGTGATGCCGTGCGTAAGTGGGACAGTTTCACACTGTCATTCCAAGGACCGATGTGTGACTGAGTGACAGTTCTCCCGAGCGTGTGTGCACAGGAGAGAGATTATGTGTCTGCAGGTTCATGTGTGGGAAGATGTGTCTGTTTTGTTGCACTTCTGTGTCACCCTTATACCTTCTTCAAGGGAAGGAATCTTACAAACTTATTTGACAGCATTGCTACTGTCCCCACTTTATAAAGGATAAAAACAGGCTCAGAGAGGGTGATTGCTTGCTCAATGTCACAGAGCCTCAGAAAAGGCTGAGCTGGATTCAAATTCATTAGGGCAGATCTCCCATCAAAAAAAAATCTGCCAGACAGCAGTGGCTCATGCCCTTTCAGGAGAGGAACCAGTGCACAGCCTTAAAGGACTGAGTGCTACCATCTTGCCTTGAGTAGAAGCAGGGCTTGGAGTCAGCACAGTGATACACGCCTGTAATCCCGGCACTTGGGAGGCTGAGGCAGGAGGATCTCGAGTTTCAGACCAGCCTGGGCTACACAGCAAGAACCTGAGTCAAAAAACCAAAAGGGAAGGGAAGGAGGAAGAGCCTTGAGGTCAGGAGGGTTTGTCTCTTAAAGGCACTGGGGAACCTTAGGGGGTTTGTTCCAGTGTTACAGTTTTACCATGATCCCTGTAGTTGCAAACTGGAGGGAGGCTGAATGCAAGCAGGAGTCATTCTGAGGATTCAGCAGGATCTGGGAAGCTGAATTCAGGAAGGAGGAAAAAGATGGTGCAGCAACTTGAGCCTTGCGCAGGACTTGGGAACCTGAGCTCCCTTGAGTTAATAACTTAGGAACACTGGCCAGCAAAGTTGGAACTTTGCTTAAGAAGCCACCAATTTCCAGAAGGGTAGCTGAGGCGCTAGAGTGGGGGCAAAGATTTGTTCAAGAGCACACAGGTAATTGTAAATTCCGGCTCTGGCTCCCCGTTGGGCACGGTGCATAGCCCAGCAACCCCACCACTGCGGCCGATCCAACCCCAGAAACTTTTGTGGCCTCGGAACCTGGTAACTTTGGGAGCAGGGGTGACGCCGGACCTTTTTTCCCCCCGAACGCCCCCTTTCTCCTTCCTTATTGGCTCATTTTTATGAGGGGCGCTGTCTGGGTACCCTCTGGTCACCTTGTCCTCCGCACGCTCTATGGCGTGGGGGCTCTGCGCAGGCGCACCAAGGGCGCCTTCGGGGCCCGCGCTTTACGACACTTGTGCGGCAGCGGCGGCGGTCACTCGGCGCTCCTTCGCGACGGTTCGGCCGGGTGCCGCTGCCGGCCGTTGCCAGGGTGGGGGTCGCTTTGCGGCATGGCGATGGCGGAGGGCGAGCGGACTGAGTGTGCTGAGCCCCCCCGGGACGAGCCTCCGGCTGATAGCGCTTTAAAGAGGGCAGAAGAGCTCAAGACACAGGCCAACGACTACTTTAAAGGTGCGTCCGGCCCGGATGGGGAAAGGGAAGAGTGGACAGCGACCCAGGCCAAAGGGGTGCCAGGCCCGCGCGGCACCATGGCAACGCGGAGCAGCAGTCTGGGCGCGGGGCAGGCACTACCAAGTGACCGGGCGCGGGGAGGCCCAGGACGCTCGCCACCGAGGGGCGACCTAGGGGGCTTCCGAGGGGAGGGACAATACTTTAGAACTGGTGTTCTGAGCGGGAGCTACTAAGTGGGGAGACTGAGGTGGGCGCTACCAAGAGTAGGGCGGGAGAGGGACCGGAATGTGGGCGCTACCAAATGTGAAGCCTGGATAGAGGTGTTACCTGGTGGTGGGACCTGAAGAGGGCGCTACCAAGCAGTGACATGTGGCTGGGGAGTGATGGCGCTACCAAGTGGGGAGACCTGGGGTGGGCACCACCCAGTGGAAAAAAGAATGGGTGGGGGAGGACGTAAAAGATTTGGGGTGACCCGATGAAAGGACATGTAGTGGGTTCTT